CATTCTAATTTATTGAGATGCACCTGTACATGCTTTGCACATAAAAATGTGCTCCATACATTATACCATACAGTTAGTGTCAGGCCATGAGACAGTACTATCTGTTACAACTAGGGGAGGCAAGTAACTTCTTCAGTGAAATTACCCTCCTTGTGAAGGGTGTCAGTGATTGTCTTCTGGACAACTGTCAGTTCAGCAGTCTTCCCCATGATTGTGTAGCTTAGTGAACCAAACTGAGAGACCATTTTGAAGGCTCAGGAAACCTTTGCAGGTGTTTTGAGTTGATTAGCTGATTGGCATGTCACCATATTCTAATTTGTTGAGATAGTGAATTGGTGGGTTTTTGTTAAATGTGAGCCAAAATCATCACAATTAAAAGAACCAAAGACTTAAACTACTTCAGTCTGTGTGCACTGAATTTATTTAATACACGAGTTTCACAATTTGAGTTGAATTACTGAAATAAATGAACTTTTCCACGACATTCTAATTTATTGAGATGCACCTGTACATGCTTTGCACATAAATATGTGCTCCATACATTATACCATACAGTTAGTGTCAGGCCATGAGACAGTACTATCTGTTACAACTAGGGGAGGCAAGTAACTTCTTCAGTGAAGTTACCTACACATCAGCCAAAGCTTTGTTGTAACTACAGTAAACCTGTAATCACATCAGTGTGAATCACAATAGGTTGTGTAATGGCACAATAGGTTTGGATTAAAAAATAAATATTTAGTGCTCTAAGGACACTGCAACAGCTCAGATGATCCACCCTGTGTCCACAAAAACATACAGTAAACTGGATAAAATGTATTGCTGTAGTTGTGGTTTTATTTGATCTGATTACTGTTCAGTCAGTAAAATTATTACTTTTATGTCACACATTACACAGAATAATGCTACCTACAGTTTTGAAGCTTGTCTTCGGTTTAGCTTCTGAATACTGTATGTCTGAGGTTACCTTCCTCTCTCTTTCTTAACAGGAAAAACCATTACAACACGGAGAATCATTACAACACGGAGAACTCTCAGCCCACAATCACAACCAAACACAAAACAACAACACCAAGGTGTTACAAAAGTGCAGTCTTGTTCATGCATTCATTAATTCTTAAATGAATGTCTTAAAGTTAACATTTTGCAATACTGTGTAGATTGATATAATTTGTATAGCTTTGTATAATGTGCTGGTCTTCTGTCTCTTTACAGGAAGAACCAGCATTGAAAAGTGATGATTTTCCAGGCAGTGACAGTCTTGTAAGCTTTAATGTCACTGAGGTTCAGTACGATCAATCACAATGGCCATAATGACATAATGAATTCAAAGTCACACAAAATGTAATTCTAACTCTCAGATTAATTTCTTTAGGAGGAAAATTCCCTGTTTCATTTTCTCAAAACATCTCCTAGAGGAACTGGGGATACTTATGAAGAGGTATATTGCTACAACAAAACACAAAATTAACATATGTCTGTTCAATTTATCCATAGTATTTGTATATAGATTTTTTGCATTGCTACCACTGCCTTTCTGTTGATAATGCACAGTAGTTACAAGCTTTCTTCTTGTAGGACAGCCCACCATTACACATTAAACTGCTGGCCAGTAATGGCAATCTCTTATATCTCTCTAACAACAACTTAAAGGTGCTTATCGTGACCCTTTATTTATATTATATACAGTAGAATATATTTATAATGTTGAAATTGCTTAGTCACCTGCTTTTCACAGTTACTGTCCCTTTTTCTACAGGATAACTCAGGGAAGCAAAGTAGCACTTTCCGCAGTTCCCCAAAACCAGCATTACGTTTTCCTGCTGAAACGGTGAAGCAGCTTCCTCTTCTTATTGCTGTATTTACAGTAGATTGTTGACAATGTTCACAGTTAGCATGTACTTTTATACCATTTTTAATCAAATGTAGGATCCGCTAAATGAGCATAGTGAATTTACAGACTGGGATTATACGTTCTTGGACACTGGCATTGAAAAGGTACTTCACCAAATCGGTAATGATTTTAAGTTGCCAGCAAAGTAGATGATGTTGTGAAAAAAATCAAACTGTTTCCTCTATTTGATAGAAATCTATTGCAGTGCCCAGAAAATGTCATGATGAGAAATTCTCTAACAGTAATAACAAGGTAAGCCTTTCTCTCACTTTTTATGCAGAGGAGCACTTGTTTTCTCTTCTGAGGGTCAAAAAGCAGTATACATAGGCAGGAATATTGCAAGAAAATAAAAGCCCATAATTCCACTTGCCACAAAAAGTAGGGGAATTGGGCTTTTTGTTTGCACTTGAAATTATTTACAGTGTCAGTTCACATATTCTGCATAAACTCTTTTGGTGATAACATCCTTTCAGGTTGTGTCATTTAGAGTGAAGAGAACTCTACCTAGAATGTCCACGTTTTCATCCAGTACGCAGGTAGTGTTAACACTTTTATTTTTAAATATCACATGATATTTAATTATCATACACTAAAATCTTTATATAGGGTTCAGATCAAGAAGATATGATTGAGGAGCCTATGGAAATGCAGCAACTGGAGACAAATGAGGTGAGTTATTGTTGCAATGAGTATGTGAATGAGTGTACATTATGGACATTGGAGTTTATTGCTCTGGCCACATCTGCAGTCCTTTACATTTTCTTGTACTCCTTCTATGGTGTATCAATATCACATTATGCCATCACATGATTTCCTATTCTCTGAATGTTTTAGGACTGTACTTTTGAAATCCTGCCAGTGGAGATGGCTGCCTACCCAACAGATTTAAATTCTTTAGAGACAGATGCGGTATATTATTATTTTATTATGATGCAATAATGTTAAATTGGGTTAATTATGAAATCTATTTGAAAATTGTATTTCTTTCTCGCTCTCTTTTCACAGGATGATGACCTGATGGACTGGTGGAAAACTGTTGCGGGTGAGTTGGGTCAAATTACTTGCTTGCCTATTATGGACATGCAAAACTACATGTTTTCAAAAATGACTAGTCTCCTAGAAGACCATCCTGCTAATCTTTCTTAAAGAAGTCTTTGTATATTTAGGCTTATATATAAGAAAAAAGTAGATGAACCTCTCTAATCTTAGTCAACTAAAATTTGTCAGCTGGACGATTGGTCAATCTTTGTTCCTCATCTCTGTTACTATACCTAGTTTAGATCACTGTTAGAAAATGCATATGATTTACTGACTTTTGACAGGTTGGAGTGAATGGAATAAAACAGCAAATTTTCAGGAGGAAGACGAGAAGCTGTGAGTAAATGTGGATTTTTTAAATCGTCTAATTGCCGCCAGTGACCACCAGTGTTGGGGAAAGTTACTTTTAAAAGTAATGCATTACAATATCGCGTTACTCCATAAAAAAGTAACTAATTACGTTACTTAGTTACTTTTTATGGAAAGTAATGCGTTACGTTACTTTTGTGTTACTTTTTAAATCTGGACAGGGCTTGCTTGTTTGTTTTTAAAATAAAAAAAGTTCTATTTTTGGCAAATATAAAAGCCTTTTCACACCAAAAGTGAAATGAATAAGCCTCAGGCTGAAGGGAAAGTACATTTAAGTCCGTACAGTAGAATGCAGAAGAAGAAATTTCAACACACTTCAGCAATAAACAAAGACACACAAATGTTTGTCTAGAGCAATTTTTGCTTATTAGTATGGTTGAACTGGATCATCGAAGGTCAGAAGCAAAGACATTGGTTAATAGAATGGGATTAAATACATAAAGGATATTTGTGTTGTTTAACATTTAATTATTGCATATTCTGAGTTTTATATATTATTTTTATTAATTTTGATGAATACTGAATCTGTGTTTTTTTTTTGTGAGTGAGATGAATTAATGCATATTCATATTTATTTTAGAACTACAGTAACATCTTCTGATTTCTCTCAACATGGGGACAGGAGAGCTGTCAATCAATAAATTGAAAAAAAAAAGTACTTATTTGAAAAAGTAACTCAGATATTCTCTTGTAAATTAAAAAGTAATGCGTTACTTTATTAGTTACTTGAACAAAGTAATCTGATTACGTAGCTCACGTTACTTGTAATGAGTTACCCCCAACACTGAAAAAAAATGTTTTGCCAGGGCTGTCGAGGCTGCTGCAGACCGTGTGTTCATGGCGGCCCGTCTCTTCGTCAGCCTGTTCAACCAACGTGGAGCTTCTCTGCAACGTTGCATTTTAGAGTTGCTTGCTCTGGCGGAGACTGCTGACAGCTTCCATAAGAAGACCGTGAGCGCAGCTGTGGGAGGGGGCGTAGCTAGTGTGGCAGGGGGCATAGCCACCATTACTGGCCTCATCCTGGCACCCTTCACCTTTGGCACTTCCACTATCGTCACTGCAGTGGGTATCAGTGTGGCAACAGCTGGAAGCATCACCTCAGCCACAGCTAATATCACGGATGCTGTTCAGTCCAAGTTGGATCGCAAGAAGGTGGAGAAGTTGATCCAAGGCTACCAGAATGAGATCAGTGACATCAGAGATTGTCTGGAGTTCATGCAAGTATGTTTAGCATTCCATCTGTGTGTCATCTGTCTGTATGCCAGTCTGTCTGTTTGTCGATCTGTCTTTCTGTCTATCTGCGTCTCACTTCTGATTTTTCTTTTGTGTATGTAGGAAGGAATGAACACCCTGCAGGAATGGGATTTTAAGGGGTACTCTGAGAGTGTGGTCAACACAAGTCTTAGCCGTAACATAAAGCATGTAATGAAGGAAGGCGGACGAGCAGGTAAAGCCCTTATGATAAACACTGATAGGCTTATCAACACTGTGAAAGTTCTAGGTGTTGCAGGAGGTGCTGCCAAAGCCGCCAAGGCCATCAGTATCACCACGGGGGTCATGTCCACTCTCTTCCTCGCCCTGGATGTCTTCTTTCTTGCCAAAGACTCCAGTGAACTTCACAAAGGTGCCAAGACCAAATTTGCCTCCAAGATCCGGGAAGTCTGCAAAGAGCTTCAACATGGCCTACTAGAACTAAACAAAGTGAAGACTCAGCTTCAAAAGACCATGGATGGAATTGAAGTGGAAGAATATGAGGAAGAGGAGGAGGATGAAGACCGATGTGAGTCAGATCCTGTTAAACTAGCTCTGCTTGAGCAAGAAATTGATCAGTTGGAGGATACATTTGACCAGAAAACTATGCAGCAGCAAATGCAAAAGAGGAGATTCTGAGAAAGAGACCCCAAAAAAGAAATAAAATGAGGAGTCAAAGAGACAAGTCAATGAGCTAACATATAGAAACAACAAAAGCACTAAATTCAAAGATTTGAAAGAAAAAAGGGAGAGTGGGAAGAAACAAAAATGAAGAGGAATAATGCATTTTATTTGAAAAGACTTGGAGTGATTTAGAATATAGAAAAAAGAAGACTTTACACAGATGTTAAGGGGCTGATTCTAAGAAGAATTGAACACTTCTGGGTTAAAGAGACAGAAAGAAAAGAATTAAAATGAAAGCAAGGGGGATAAGAAGCCAATAAACACTCATGTGTTATTCAGGAAAATCAAAGTGACAGAGTATATACTTAGAAGTAAGAGGGAGCAAAAAGAAAGACGACTAGATTTGCATTTCTTCAAATAAATACCATTGGATGGAAGGCAGCTCATGATTCATGTTAAAGTTTTAAGTAAGACTATAGGTTTCAGGTTTTAATTCTATATAAATCAAATGCTGCATCAGAAATCATATTTTCTGTATGCTACACGTTCAACCTAGATTCTTGTTGTAATTCAACTTAAATTGTTAAATATATGATAATCACAATTAAGTTAAATTCAAAATGAATTTTTTGTGATTGTAGGTTTAAAACAAACCACGAACTTTGATATTTAAGGTACAGTTCAGTCTTGTAAGCATTGTAAATAAATTCATGAGAATATGTGTGAAAAAGCAGACAACTGTAAAAATGTGAAGGGCTAACAGTTAAGTCAAAAACTTAACCCTCAACCTGTTTTCCACGACCTATAGTCTATAATTAAGATTTTCACAATTGGCTAGTGTGGTTTACAACACAAAAAATCAGTTTGTTTCAGTTCCTGCAGCATTATATCCAGAAAGCATTATTTTGTAGCTAAAAAGGCATCTGGATTTATTTTCTTTATGAGTGTGGAAATGAGCAGTTATTGGAGCTAGTTCATGTGTTACAACACATGAATCTTTGGGGTATGTGCAGGTAACACAAGTTTGAATTATGATCTTATTTCGTCTTCTCTGCCCACTAAATAAAAATGGCAAAAAAAAAATCAATCAAAGATGTAATATATTTTTGTTATTTTCTTTATTATTTATTTTTATTGTATATTGTACATAAAAAAATTTTTTTAATAAAAAGCATTTTTTTATTATAAAAAGCATTTTCTGTTTTCTGTTAGTCAGTTAACAGGTAGGTTGTTTGATTTTGCTTTATTTCTAGAATGCTTTGTGTAGTAATCTTTCTCTGGATTTATGCAATGCATAAAGTGTTTATAATTTTCTTTAAATAAAATGCAGAATGAGTTTTTGTATTTATTTAGTAATAAATAGCTTAGCCTTTCTCTTATAAAACACCAATTTATTCAATCCAAAATGAATCTTTATTGGCAAACATGTTGAAGTTTAGCCGACAGGCTGTCGAGTCATTAAGTTGTGAGATATTTCCTCACAAGTTTATTCAGCGTACTCTGAAATCGAGATTAGCATCTATCTATTATCGACAATATCATCTCCTCCTTCCATTCACGGCATCCAAAAACAGCGTTGAGCTTCTTTTTGCTAACCTTTAAGTCTAAAGGCCTCTGATAAAAGCCACCTGCAGCAGAGCCATAAGTCACAGCTAGAGCTGTGATTGAGGATGCTTCTGCAACCTCAAATGACAAATGGGACACCATACACAGTCTCATAAACTTTTAACACGTACGAGCTTTGCACTTCACATCAACTGTGGCATTTGTGACTAGGCCACATGTTTCTCTGCTTGTGTGTACATATAGGACTAAGGCTGAAAGAAAGGGAGAGGGTGCCCTCTGCTGTTGAAGTATATGTTTGGTATTTAGGGTATTTATAGTTTTTAGGTATTAAGGTGTTTCTTTTTTTTAAACTATTATAGTATGATGGCATCATCTCTTCTCAGAAGATTGTATGATTACATTTGAGAGCTAAACATTTGCACAGTCCTACACATCAGAACCAAACATGAATAAACTTGCATTCGTTAAATGATCAAATTAACCTGAATGTGCTTCATTACAGGAGACAGCAACAAACTAGATATAAAGCTATAAAAAAACTTAATATTTTGGGTTACAAATAAGAAGCAGGACTTTTTATTACCCTTCACTCTGTGCTTAATGCTTCACCTGCATTAATGTTCTGCTTAAACACAGTATTTTAGATTGCAAGTTTAAAGAAATACTGCTGCAACCTACAAGCAATATTTACTTGCAATATGCATTTCCAATATCCATTAAATATGTTTGATGGAAAGAAGCAAACTAATGTTATATAATGCTCTTTACTTTATATAACCATCGACTCACTGCCCCTAAGACATACAATTCAGCTCAGGATATACAGTTCTTGCTATTGAAGCATATATTTTAGACTGAGTCAGACGGAGAAAAAAGAAACAAGTGTGGGTTAGAGCACTCAAGTAGACATAAGCACACGCACAGGAAAAGAAGTACAGGGCAATACAGGACAAGATACCTGGCCAACAGTAAAATGTGTCATACTTTATATAAAATGTACAGAATAATAACATGTATTCAATTATTGCATTGCCAGTGACTATTTGAGAACGATCAAACACGGATGACATTTTCATCACACCTGTCTCAATGCAATTACAGACATCATTTGTCCCATTAACTGTGAGATAATCTTGAGTGCTCTCATTATTATGAGCTATTCTGAGATATCTGTAGAGACCGTTTTAATTATAGGGGAAGGAGAAAGAGAATGACACTTAAAATAGATCAAAATGTTACACTTTCCTTTATAATCATCTTCATTTGAATCACCAGTTCCCAAAAATTTAAGGATCTAGTTGCATGTCTGTAATTTCCGGCATTAAAGCAAAAATGAAAGGCATTATGCTCATTTCAGTGAGTATGACGTGACTTAAAAAGGTTCTCGACCTTGTGCTAAATTCAACCAGCCGGTAAAATACAGTAAACTGAACAAAAAAGTTATACTTTGCCTGTTTCACATGTATTTCAAATAAATTTGAAAATAACAAGCTACTTAATTTTATACGGTGTCTTGATTAAATCCCTGTCCAAAAGGCAGAAATATGCACGTTATGGTTATTGCTAATTCTTCTGTTAATGCTAGGTTGTTATATATTTTTTCTGTAATCAAATAATCATTATTTGGTCTGCTGTTGATATAAAGAAATTTCGGTAACACCTTACAATTAGGTTTACAGTAATGCATTAAATAACATTAACAGCGAGCAGTTCCTTTTTTACTGTATTTATACATTTTTGTTAACATTAGTTTAAAAATACAACTGTTAATTAATGCTTAGATCCTTTAAATAATATTAACCAATACAACTTTTGATTTTAATAATGTATTAACAATAATTAACATTAATAAATGCTTTAGAAGTATTTCATTGTTAATTCATGTTAAAGTAGTTAACTAATGACAAAAAAGATAATGGTATTACCGACATTTCCTTATTTTTTCAAATGCTTCTCATTTTAAAAGAAAAGAAAAACAAAACAATTAACAGCTACCTCTAAGAATACATTTACAACTAAGCTACTTCATATCTATATTGCTAATTCACACCAACATGTTTTACTGTAGGTGCAGTGCAACATTTGGTCATTCACTGCCCTTTGAATTCTTACGTTTATAATTACATTTGTTCTGTTGCATCAATGATATACTGAATATATTAAATAATAGATGTGTGTTGCACATGTCCGTAACTGACGCTCCTATCTATATTTATGTCTACAGGAGAGGATAGAAAGGATGGAGACAAATCTACACAAATACAACTAACAAAATCTGCAATGTCTTTTAAAGTGAAAATCCTTCCCTATTCTTATGTCCTAAACTCTAATCAACCCAGCATGTTGATGCCACTGGGCTATCATTTGTTTTCCAAACCCCTAATTTCCCACCCACACATGACTTTTCCCTTTTCTCTGTCTCTTCCTTATTAAATCTCTTTCCATTTTGAATATTGTGGAAGGTGCTTTTATCCTCTGCACTGATTCTTTCATTCATTCTTCCCTTTTCTACTTCTTTTTTTTCTGGAAGCGTCTGAACTGATTCTGTATTGCCAAAGCTGCCTTTTCCGTCTCTGGCGCATCCAGATCAATGTCGATCTCTTCTTCGGGTTCTTGTGTAGGGTTCTTCCCCGCTTTGTCCACCAGTTTCTCCTGGGGGGCTGAGGGGCACATAGAAACATTGACAATGTCAATGGCATAGTAAAAGGATTTCTTACATTTTTGAAGCCAGTGTGTCCCAATTCAGGTTAAATCCTGTTGCATAAATTGTTTATACATTTTAATACCACAGAACTGTAATGTATGCAGCTATTCTAATATCTCTTAACAGAACATAATTTCATGGTTAAAACTGAAGCGTCTTATTTGTTTCAATGTTTAAATATTTTCTTGTATCTTAGATTAATATGCATGGATGTGCTGCAGGAATGACGTATTTTTGAAGGCCAAATCCTGGAAATGAGTTAGCATTTTATCACAAGCATTTGTCAATGTGTTTTTTAACTGGATTTTTGGTTAAATGACTAAAATAAGGCCAGTGGTTAAACAAGCTTAAGATATTTTCACATTTTTTAAATATATAAGTAATACTCCCTTTACTTTACTTGTGTTGAAAAGGAAGCTACAGAGTTTGTCGGGAGCATTTAATAGTAAATCACACCGAACAGGTACTCATCTACTCACTAATTTGCTTTCACAGCTCTTGGGAGCTATTCTAATTCAGATTTATTTATGTAATATTTTTTTTTTAAATAAGCTTAAGCTTTATGGTGGTGATGTTGAAGTTATGTGACTGTGGGATAGTTGGTTTATAGCCTACGTTTAGCTTTTTAATTAATTTTTGCGATTGCATTTAGCCTTCAAATTTCTTAAAGATGTGTTCATTTGTGAAGATTATTATTATGAACAAAACATGTAAGAATAATAAACTTTTGTTGGTCACAGAGCTTATTTTTTGCAATAATCTAAAAGCCAGTGTAAAACATCCTATTGGGTTTTTGTCGAGGGAAACCAGGGTGATGCTAACTTCGGGGTTGGCCTACAAAAATACATAATCACTGCAGCACACTATTTGCAATTATTTTTATTCAACCAATTTTTGCTCTTCTGTTTGGTGTCACTAGACTAGAGGCACACAAATGACACACTTCAGCTTAAAGGGATAGTTCACTCCAACTGACTTCTATTGTATGGACAAAACCAGCTGAAACATTCTTCAAAATGTCTTATTTTTAAATGAAATGCTGATGGGACATGCAACATTAGGGCTTTGGTGAGATGAAAGGGTAAGTCAGCTGAATATACACTGACCTTATGGGAATAACCAACCTACACTAGACTGCAATAAAGAACTGTCTCCTGAGTGAATGCGTGCTTGAGTTCTCATGGGTATGCACGTGTGCTTTTTTGTTAAGAGAATGGAGAGAGAGAATTGAACTGATCCTTTACGATAAAAATAGTAAAAACAGATAAAAAATCTGACTGAACTGGCAGACATCTGTATTCTGGTAGGTTACACTTATATTTGTACAAATATAAACCTGGCCTTACGTAACCGTACAGTTCTGGTGGAGAACAAAACATGGAGGAGTTTTCAAGAAGTTAATTATTAAAAATTCAAACATGGTGTAATGAAACGCATAAACGCACCTTTTTTATCTGTGGCGGGCCCCTGAGTGCTGTTGGGAGGATCAGATGAACTGTTCTGTAAGAACGAGACAGCAACTACCAGGTTTATCGTTGTGTGAAAGCATTTATACATGCAGTATAAACAAAAATAACAACATTTGTGAAATTTTATGTGGTCTGCCATTAAAGGGGTCATATGATGCGATTTCAATTTTTCCTTTCTCTTTTGAGTGTTACAAGCTCTTGGTGCATAAAGAAGATCTGTAAAGTTGCAAAGACTAAAGTCTTTGACTAACACGCCCCCACATGTCTACGTCACTATGTGGGAAGATTTGCATAACGCCGCCTAAATGTTCACGCAAAGAAAGAAGGCGTAACTTT